CTTCGTTTTGCACGTGGCACGTGCATAAGGGGTCACCTATATGCATCGGGAATAGTCCAATACTTGGTAGAAGGAATGAAGTTACCCTACAAAAATTACCGCGTGTAAATCGGTCAAGTGGTTGCTGAGATATAAGCCTCGCAAAAGCGTCCGCACGGCCGGCCGGCCGGCCGCTCATACTCAGAAATTTCCGTTAATCTAAGGAAAGACTTCGCTCGCTTCGCTCGCTCCGTAATAAAAAGAATAGGGTAAGCTATGCAACGGCAAACAGACCAATAGGTTGAGTGACATATCTGATGTCAAAAGCAATACACAGACACCCCAACATCACGGCTTCTGTCACGAAAGAGGCAACATGGAAAAGAACAGCACACATCCGTCGTTGCATGTTCACCTGTTTGCCATCCAGTTCCAGCCTGTCATGTAACCGTGCTATCTTGTAAAGATCGTTACCTGCCTGTCCCTCAACCATCGGTCTCGTCTGTCGATCGGTCGGTCGGGCGGTTGGTCTGTTGGTTTGTAAATCTGTCGGTCGAGTTATTTGCTCTCTCGGCCCGCCTCTAGGAGCCGCAGTCGGTCGATCGGTCGGTCTGTGTGGGTCGGTCTGTCGGTCTGTCGGTCGGCCGGTCGGTCTGTTGGGTAGGCCCGCCCCAGAGCCGCGGTCGGTCGGTCGGTCTGTCAGTCATGGTCTGGAGTAGTTCGCTCTGTCTGCCCGCCCCAGAGCCGCGGTCGGTCGGTCGGTCTGTATGTCTGTCGGTTTAGAGTTGTTCTCCCTGTGGGCCCGCCCCAGAGCCGCGGTCGGTCGGTCTGTTGCACTGAAAACAATTTCACCCAAAACTGGCGAGTAAACCGGTGCCTCGCGGGTACCCCTATCCGCAACCATTTTTAACCACCCTCCCAGGAGTCAATTTAGGACATAACACTTTCGCAATTCACTCTGGAGAGTAGTAACCCTCCACGACTATTCGCGCACCAGTGGCTCGCGACCCCTCCATCGAAAGGTATTCATCGACGCCTACCTGGCAGCAGCGCCCCACAAACCCCTAGGAGAGGAGGTTACCCTCCACGCCTACCCTTCGCCGACCAAGTCACGAGGGCCAAAAAAAAAACTCCCACGCTTGACCATATTTGCGGGAAAATATATATTATGGCAATCTAACACCTAGAAAACATCGGTGAGAAAGTTTCACATCGGTGGGAAAGGTCAAATCGAATTCCCATAGAAATTCCGACATGACTCAGTCACCGGCAGTCATGCAGACCGCCCGAAATCAAGAAGATGTGTCGCCACTGCTTTCGTGACCTATATAAGAATCAAAATGGCTTCACTTGATAGTTTCGGAAGAAAAAGCGTTGCCAATCGTCCCGTGATGAACATTGCAGAGGTTTTAAAGATGCACCCTAACAATTGTACTTTCGCCCCCACTTGAAAACCGCCAAACAATGTGCCAATATATCATTGGTTCAAAAAAAGTTAAAAAATTGCTGTAATACAAAACTGTATGAGACAGCGCCATCTAGTTGTAACAGTAGATCCAACTCCTTCAGGGCAGGTTATGTAAAGGTTCGCCATCCACGGATACGCGTTTTACGATACCTCGAGTAGTTCCAACTCTTTCAGTGAGGGCTGTGCCAATGACTCGACACCCGCGGGGACAATATCCGGTGCTGGGTAGCTACCTTACTGCAGACTGTGGGTACAGTGCATATTTACGAGTAATAAGGCAGGCAAGTCTGCTTACCCTCTAGCTAGAATCTGGACATGGCGAGTTAATACACATATACCACCCGCAGAGCAACGCTTAATTCGCCAGCTTCGGGTGAAATTGTTTTCAGTGTGGGTCGGTCTGTTGGTCCGTCGGTCTGGAGTTGTTCGCTCTGTCGGCCCGCCCCAGAGCCGCGGTCGGTCGGTCGGTCGGTCTGTCGGTCTGTCGGTCGCCCGGTCGGTCTGTTGGGTAGGCCCGCCCCAGAGCCGCGGTCGGTCTGTCGGTCTGTTAGTCATGGTCTGGAGTTGTTCGCTCTGTCTGCCCGCCCAGAGCCGCGGTCGGTCGGATGCCAGGTTGACACAGGACGCCGCTGATGGGGAGATAACGCCGACCGACCCGCCGCCGCCCTCCCCTCTCCTCCGTCAGCCGGTCAAAGACCTCCCGGCCTCCCGGCCCGGCATCCCGGCGTCCCGAGATCCTCCCACGGAATCCCCAGGTCAGAGCCGCCATTTGACCAGGGTCTGGTCATTGGAAAGAGACCTTCACCTCTGATACGACCGGCAGGTGACCAAACTGGAAACTTCAGTGCATGTGATCCAAATAAGAATGTTTTTTTTTTGCCTGCCACTGCGAGTCACTTCTTTTATTGCCAGCGTGACAGGGGTAATTGATTATTAAATTATTTGATACATTTTTCAAGGAAGGCTTCTCAATCTTTACATTTCAGCTTTACCAACTCAGGACATCACAATTTAATGTCTATTATTGATCATTATAGACTGTTCAAAGGCATTGATCAAACATTCATTAACGTTATTATTTGTTGTGTTGTGGTGATCCATTTTAACGTTATACTGACATGATTGTAGCCATTATGACCATTAATTTATCGACGGATTGCGCTAACTGGCTGGTGAAACGTTCAAAGGACAAATTGTGGCACCTCTCTCGCAGCTGAACAGCCAGACTACTGCAGCCGTAAGAAGTGATGTGTGTTGAAACAAAAATGGCGCTGGGCAACCAGCATAATGGAGAAATGTTTGATCGAAATTATAGAGTGGTGTGCTCCTTACCTCTTTTATTTCTGTTACGTTTCTTTACTTCATTAGCAATTTTCACGACGGCCATCTGGTACACATTTTGTGCACATCTGGTGCAGATTAGGTGCAGATTTGGTCAAATTAGGTTCAGTGTGTCTCTTAGTAGCTATCAGCTAGGTTTGCATTAATTGCTTATATGCCTGCTTTGTCATAAGAACAGAGAGCATCATCGATTAAAACACTGAAATAAATTCATAAAATAAAGATATTTGCTGTAAAAGAGATTAAGTGCAGATTTGGTCAAATTAGGTGCACTCGCCGGATAGCCCGTCGTGAAAACGGCTATTGTTTGTTCGACAGAAAGGTTTATAATTATTCGTACTACTTATCGGATTCGAACCACCTTACTCTACCCGTACACCGCCTCTCACCTCACCTCTCACCCCTCTGGCGCAGCTCTCTCACCCGCCGCCCCCGCTCTCTCACCTCCAGTTGACATGTCACAGAGCGGGCCGGTGCGGGGTCATTATCGCAATGTCATTAGGGTCGTCGCGGGCGGCCTCGCGCTAATGAATAGCGCCCTTCCTGCCCGCGCGATCGTGGCGAGATAACGATCTGGGCCGGCGACAGTCGCCGCCGCATCCCACGCGAATGTGGCGCACCGGCGGCAGACGCGGTGGGTCGGACGCTAACGAGATGCACGCGCAGCGCTGACCGCGGCGGCGGCGCGGACCGGGCCTGTGGTGGGCAGCGCGCACCGACAAACAATCAGAGTGGCCCACAGACGGCTCGGGGCTGGCTGCAATCCCGGACAACGGCTGCTGAAAGGACGAGAGAAATGAGATTTTCATCGGATGGTTTCCCTCTAACCTAAAATAATTTCAGAATTGGAAGCATAATCCTTTTGCGAGCACGTATGCTTTCAGTGAACAACCTAATTTGGTTATCCTGAATAGGTCGCTTTGACGTCACTCGCTTTTATTTTCTTAGTTATTTCTTCAGCCTTTTTATTTATTTTATAATTTAATTCGTTTTCGCTGCCGTGCCATCTGTACTCTGTGATAAGTTTTATGCTTTTAGCATTAACCTGCCAGTATTCTCGTGCAGACATTACACGAGCTCTTACGAAGCATCAATCAAATCGTTTATTTCTTAGTAAAGAGAATCATTAAAAAATATAATTACTTAAAGGGACCCTCCCACCTTAACATTAGTTTTGAGTTGAGATAGCCAAGTTTGCGGCCAGGCTCAGAAACCACCATTTATCCTGGTCGCAACCCCCGCAGCTTTATGGTGTTCAAGAAATTTCTTCCCTTTACTTGCAGGGTGGGACCAGCGTGGTCCCTATCTCTTAACCATTACGGGAATCTGATGACGTCATCAGGCTTTCGAACGTCCGTTAAATGTTTGACTAAAACGTTTTGTAGCACGCGGTGGTATATGCAACTTTGCGCGCAACAAATGCCGCACTTTCAAATAAAGTCGCTAGGAACAGCGGAGATCCCAAAAAGTAAACAAAAGTAAAAGTCTAATATCTTGAAAATCGGTGAATATTTTTCGATGAAATTTGGTAGATATTCGTTTTTGCTCTTTCTGAACCGAGCGACATCACTTTCATGCCAATTCATTAACTTTTTTGAAGGTGGGAGGGTCCCTTTAATTCTCTCACCTTTTTCTCCTTCCAGGGCATTTATTTTTCAGCTCCCTCGTTAGCGCTGCCAGTTCCCACTGATACCATGGCGGTGCGCGGCGTGCCTTAGTGTCACTCATCCCCACCGGTGACCGCCCACCCATCACCGAAGGTGTGCCACCCTCCCACGGCGCTTCCGCCTCACAAAAAGTTCCTAACACCCTCACAGGACCCGCAAACCGCTCCGACACCCCTGGCTAGCACCTCCGGCATGTCACCGTTCGGGTCGGCCGGCCGCGTTCAAAGTAACGCATTCCTGCCCGTGTTTGTCGCTCATTATCCGTGCTCCCACGGGGAGCCAACGGTCCGATTCTCCACGCGTGGGCTCCCCGAGGGGCGGCCGACCCGGCGCACCCCGGTGCACCCACCCCCTCTGGAGCGCACGGCCCGGCAGATTTGAAATCCCCACCGCGGCCGGCGGGTGGGGGCGGCGGGCGGCCGGCCCGCCAGGCTCCGCCCTCCGCGGCACTGCGGCACAGCATCGCGGCCGGCCGGCAGGGGCAGCGACACAGGTGCTCGGCGGCGGCGGCCGCCCAAATCAGTGCGCGCACAGATTTGGTGAGAGGGGGTGCGCGCGGAGCGCCGTCCGACAGAGCAGCGGAGTTGTGGGCGGGGTGCGTGTGCGGTGGAGAGAGGAGCGGAGCGCGGTCGGCCGGATTTCAATGGAGCGAGTCAGGTGAGTGCCGGGCCGAATGGGAAGTGATGTGCCGGTGGCGTGTGGTGGTGATGTTAATGTGCCGCTGATGACACCGGTTCGTTAGATTTAATGGTGCCAGGCTCCACGAACACTGCTCCACATGTCACGGCTCGACTTATGTCAGCCCAGAGCCATTTATACCTAAACCCACATATTTAGTGCAATGACTTCAATTCATTTCACCGTAGGTATAATTAAATAAGGCTGATGTGCATCTGATCCTCTTATCTTTACAGAGGCCAAAGAACAGTCCATGTTGCAGTAGACAGCCCTGATATTATATGCAAAATGGCTGCGAGTTTATCCGCTCATTTTCCGTCAAAGTGGCGAATTGTTTAACGGAAATAATAACGCCTCACGACGGAACTTGCTCACCTTGCCCGAAACGTGGCTACCTGGGTGCACCTGTAAAATTCGTATATGATGTAAGATAAAAACACCAAAACCACCCAACGTTACGTGTTATTCACTTTTTCAAGGGTGATATGACACATTTTACCATTGACCTATAATAAGTATAGACAGACTACTCTGGCTTAATCAGCGCCTGAAGGCCGTTCCCGCCGAGCGACACTAGCGCCACCGTACGTGTAAGGGCACGAACTAATGACACAATGCTTTGTCTATGGGAAAAACGCGAAAGTTTATCAACTTCTTTCTCGTAAATAACACGACGGAACGGAACGAGACTACGTCTACAATGAAGAAGCGTCCAAGCTAAATCACCTGAACATAGCACAAAGTCATAGGTTGAGGGGCACGGCACGCGCCACGTGCCAAATAAGTGGTGACAAATTTGTTCGATCTATGTACAATAACTTTACAACGACTGGGTTGATTGAGCTGAAACTTGGCATGTCGGTGGACACGCAAATGATAATGCATTTCGACGTGTCACGGTTAGGGTGCTGCTGCACGTGCGCACGTGCAGGGGACGCTTTCAGATCTCGAGAACGGCTGGGCCGATTGCGCTCAAATTTGGTACGTCGTTAGGGACCGTTTGACAGGGTGCCGTGCACAAGTCAGTTTGGGTTCAGCTTGCACGTGCGCACGTGCAGGGGTCGCTTCCACATCTCGAGAGTGGCTGGGCAGATTGTGCTCAAATTTGGTACACCGTTAGGGACCGTTTGACAGGGTGCCGTGCACAAGTCAGTTTGGGTCCAGCTTGCACGTGCGCACGCGCAGGGGTCGCTTCTACATCTCGAGAACGGCTGGGGAGATTGCGCTCAAATTTGGTACACCGGTAGCGACCGTTTAGGAGGGTGCCGTGCTGAAGTCCTTTTGGGTCCAGTTTGCGCGTGCACACGAGCATCTCGAAAGCGGCTTTGCCATTGCGCTCAGAATCATCATTTATTGATCCGTTAAAGGAGCATTCGGCTTCCCTATCACGTAGTTTGCATGTCTCATGCGCGTTTCTCTTCATGATTGCGAATTCGATTAATACAGTATGTTAGTTGATTTAACAATATGTATTGTGTATTTAAGATAAAGCTCAGCAGTAACATTCATGACATCATCAAAGCATCATCAAAGCATATGAAGATAAATATAATGTTCATGGTAGTAGAGACTGGGATGAGTGAAGAATACTCATACCGATCTGAGTGCACATAATGATGCATCATTTCAATCACCCATGAGCCTCTTTAACCCGCGCCCGGGAGGGCCTTTCAGCCAACTTCGCCATGGAGGGGGGACGTATTTGTCCACGCCATATTATCTCGCAAAGGAAGAAAGGTAGAAAGATTAAAAAAAGGGCAGGATGTAGCTCGCTATAAGAACTTTGAGAATCATCAAGACAATTTTTCTATCATGTCACCGCTAAAAGTCACTGGTGATCACCAAAAGGTCACGAATTCTGGTTTCCGATTTTAACAACGTTCCACAAATCAGCGCACACACAAGTAAATGAGGGGCCTTCTGCTCTTGAGCACTTATGTTGAGGCTTGCAAGAGATATTTAAGCCATTAGCAGGTCACACTTGGTAGGCATTTCGACTGTTGCAGTCTGGCTGAGCTTACATTCAGTTTTCTTGACGGCTCCAGCCTCCACCGTGTTTAATTGCAGTAGCAACTTACAACTGAAGTTCGTCAATCTTTTTTACTTTATATGTTGGCCATAAGTCGGGTTATGTCTGATTCAGCTGGCAGATGAATTTCAGCACACACCAGAAGCCTTCTAGCAACGGGAACATGGGCAGGTGCCTTCTTAGGTAGACCTTGGGTAGACCTATCATCATCATCATCATCATCATTTATTTAGCATCGCATTGTGCGACAATTGATAACAATAAGTAATAACAGAGTGTAACACGTCAACTGCACTCTATCTTTAAGAATCTTGGGTAGACCTCTTCCAAACCGTTTCTTATGACATTTGTGAAGATTGCAAGTGTCCCTCAGTTTTTTTTTCTTCTCTTGACTCTATCCATTAATAAATATGATAAAATCATCAGTGTCTGACTGCTCTAGCAAATAACCAGGATAAATTTAAATAAAATGACATAAAATGCTTTAATTACATAAATGCCAAATATCTCAGAACACACTTCTTGAAATGCTTGCTGTAATAACGGAAGTCAATTTTATCGCATTGAAATGATTCACTTATCACGTGCAATATGTGCTTGATATTTGTTTGTGCTCTTTATTGGTGACAAATCATCTTTTCTTGTTTAATATGCACCGGACTGTCAACACACCTTACGCAATTTGCAATGCGGCATCAATAATTAATGATGCCGAGGACTTTGTTTATTCCGTTACCATGGAGACGATTTTCGTGAGGCTTGACTTCAAACCATAAACGTTTAAATAAATGTTTTGTAGTAAATGTTAGCGTTCTGTTACACATTTTAAAATAAATTAACGCTAAATATTCAATAAACTTTTATTTTTACGTCCGTGATTAAAAGTTAGGATTGCCCTTATCCTGCGCTGTAAATTCAGAAAACAATTTGCTTCTTTGGTCGACGAGGAACGCCGCAAAGACGCGAGTAGTTCGTCTATACTTATTATAGGTCAATGCATTTTACCTACAGAGTCAAGTACGTTTTTTCGGTTTCGTTCGAATATAGCGCGGGCACTTTTTCACAAATTTCCTCTGCCTTGCATGACATATTGACATATACATACACACATACTACAAATTAACGTCTTTCCTAGCCAACAGAGCAGACACCGAAGCTAGTCTGAAGAATCCACTCGAAGTGTTCAAAACATCACCTTTCGCAATAAACGCCGCTTCTATAATTCTCCGCTGGGTTTTAGAAAAGTTTTGATCCACATGTGTAGCCCGCGTCCAATCAGGTAAATGCCCTTCTTTCTCAGCGTGAATAACAAATGCATTAGAAAGTCTGTGATTACGTAAATCCCCCCTGTGTTCACGGACCCGTGTTTTGAGACCCCTACCAGTTTCCCCGTAGTACACCCGCGGGCACCCACCACATGGAATTTTGTAAACTACGCTGTCTCTGTTGCGAGGCTGTTTCCTTTTTTTACGCATTATCCCACCTATCTTCTGCCCCCCTACAGAGACTATGCGCAGCGCAGGACCTATCAGTTTCTGAACCGTTTCATTCAAGGGAGAATGCGGAGCTATTACCATTGGTTTGGTTTCTGCCACAGGCTGACCAGCTACAGCTGAGGGCTGGTTATCTGAGGTGACAGATCGGGACCTGTAAAGCTTGCAAATTGTTCGAAGCTAGCTTTTGACATTCATTTGCAATCAATACAAAGAGATAAATGCTCAGTTAAAATTTGTTTGTATCCTAACGCTTATGATTACGCCTGATCCGTGGACAAGCGCTTTAGCCCGGCAATTTTTCATCATGTTTTCTGTTTGTTTGTTTTTTTTTTTGCTGCCCTAAAATCTGATCAGCACGGGACGATCAATTACTTATGTTGCTTAGGTAGTAATTTCAGTAGGAATGGTAAGTTTCGCCGAATACGGCTATGTTGCGATGAAGATTGCCCGCATTGATACCTAATGAAAAAGCATCTCAGGATTTTCATTTTTCACTTCTCATATTGTGGTGCAATGTAGATTGGTTACCACTTACCTTAATAAGTATTTGAACTTGTAAACGACAACTTTTATGAAGCCTAATTTATATGACAAAGCACGCCTTTATTTCCCAAGCGATTTTAACTTTTAGCAAATCCAATTTCTAAAACACACTTACAAATGCAAATCATGCCAAACTATGCGACTCTTTTCTAATGGAATCATCAAAGTGATCGATTCGTCTTCAGTATGCATTTGTATTCTATTTATGCATCCCATCCAACCGAAGAATTCTGAATTTGGCTACGAAGGTCACTCGCGGCGCAATGTGCGTTCCTGCATGCCCAAGCCAGGTAGTGTCTTCAGCGCAGTCATTATGCAGGGCGCACCCCGCCTGTCTGTCAGCCTGCCCCTTACCATCTAAAGCCATCGGCTGCCGTTCTGCCCAGGGTGACCGTATAGTCTCCGAGCGATTTGCTGCTCCCCTGGGCTGCGCCATTCTCTGAGCCTCTAGGACATTTCAGACAATTCTGCAATACCCATGCAGACGGCTCGTGACAGTTTTATCTGCGGTGGGGGCCCATCGAGATTGCGCTCCGCTGGGTTTTCGGCCTGCCTCGCGGGGCTCAGGCCGGACGGTGTGGTGTCGAAGTCAAACACGGAGGCAGTGAAGGTGATGACCGAAAACCGTTGGAGTGTCTGATGAATCGAGTAGCTGGTGCCGGCCAATTCAGCGGGCAGTTCTCACGGTCTCCATTATGGGTGCTATTAGGGCACGAATAGCGCGGCAAAGCCCGACTCACGACCTCGACGGCAGCCTTTTCTCCGAGCATCACGCCAGCCCTGCTTCCGTGCGGCCAACGGCCGGAGTGCCGGTGATACTTCAGACTGAAACCGACCCTCGAGTCGCCCGCCAGCGCCCGCAGAGCGGCTGGGACGGACGCTGAGAGCACCCTCCACTCGACAGAGGTCTC